CGAACCCGCGTCCCCTGCATCGGCAGGCGGACTCTCAACCACTGCACCACCAGGGAAGCCCACACTTTTCGTTTTTAACAGAAGTATGTAACGTTGTTGTGAAGCAATTCTGTGGTTAATGAACCGTAGAAAATACATTTTAACATGGACACTGTGGCCTGGAGGGGGAGGGCAGAAATGATGTCTTATTCATGACTAGATTAACAAACAAGGAGCTAAGTAATGATGGAGATTTGTTTTAAAACCTCAAAAAAGGGTTTCTTCATTTTGGAGGTGGGGGGACACATAGAGTGAGCCAAAGATGATCAGAAAGGAAGATGATAACATGTTAAATTTTAAAAGAAGTATATATGCCTCTTTGTCGTGTATATCCTACTTATCACTTAGTTCAAAGAGTTTCATGGTATCAATCTATAGCCATCTATCTCTATATCAACTTATGCTGGAACATAAAAACTCTTTTGTCAGTGTTTTTCTTTTAATATGAAGACTTTCAGTGTAATTTAGCTTTTCAAAAATTCAAATAAACTAAGTCGGATTTTATTCAAAGTATGTCACATTTCTGCATTAAAAAGTCTTCATATATATAACATATAACAACAGAAACATTATTTTTAAATTTTTATGGAATCCCTAAGTTCTTTTAAATAGTTTGGTGAGCAGGACCTATGCTTCAGTTCTTATTCAAACTAAAGACACTGAAGCATCTATAACATGAAAAGAGAAAGAAAATATGACATGACAGATTATACCAAACAGTAAAAATACGGTAACAAAACTACATATTTTATCCAGGAAAGCCAAAACATAGTCGAAAGGGGCCAGGATCTTTCAATAGAAGCACAGTAAAAGTAAAACTGCCATTATATTACCACCATTATTGACAACTATTTCTCAAATTTACACCAAATCAAAAAAGAAAGAATATGGCTTGGTCTTGATTCAAATTCTCAAGACTATTTTAATTTACTTTTTTGTTTAAGGTCTGAATCTACCAAGATATAAAGTAACATGGCTTAAAGTACTCCAGAAGTTTTCTGAATCTCAGAAACTTACAGACTGACCTCCAGTTTTAGAAGTGAATGAAATTGATGTTTACTTTCTGGTGCCTTGAGATAATCTTAATTTACAGTGACATAAAAAGGACATACTCGGGCCGATTACAGAGCCTGGTTGTGCTTTTGATTCCACCTCCACATGTTCTTGAACAAGAACTGTAAGGTCCCCACGGTCCCCAATCGCCATCTACAGGACGTGTGTTCATTTCTTTGTTTACACATAGCCCATGGTGGCAATGCTATAAAAATAAAACAAAAAGAAATGATTCATGCATCATCTAATTAGGACATCATAATAATAATAACAATAGCACAGAGATCAGTAGAAAAAAAGGTATACAATTTTAAGCAAAATGTTATCAATTCAGAAATGAGATTACACGTGACACCACTTTGTGAATATTTCCTGAGTATCTACTGAGTAACTGTAAAAAGGTCGACACAACGCAAAAGTGAATAGGAAATTTACCTTGCCAAGAGATCTATAGTCTCACTGGAGAGGAAAGACCTACCCATATGGGGGAAACTTAAATAGTATAATGAAAAATATTTTTGAAAAAGAAGCAAACAAATATTTGTTAATGTGGTATTTGTCCATGCTTCTATTTTTATGCAAAGATATCTATCACTCTCCCATGCCTTAAGCTAACTTTCTGCTCTATCTCATTCAAAGTCTCAAAGACCACTTCGTTCCTTGCTTTCATCAAGAAAGTAGAAATGTACAAAAGAATCTGCCCAAAATCTCCCACCATCCCTTCTACCCACCCAAAAGCATCTGTACCCAGTACTCAACCTTCCTGCCAATTAGTATACATGAAAAATCCAAAGTCGATCCCTCCACTGTGCACCTCATCTCATCTCTTCTCGCTACTCCAAACACCACTCCAGCAATTCTCCCGTCTCTCCTACATCATCACTGCTCCAGTCACTACTACATGAAAGCTAATCAAAACATGGTCCATGCACGGATGCCAGTCTTTGAACTAGTCACTGTCAGTAGGGAGAAGAGGTATACAGAAGTTGAGAGTAAGCGTTCAGAAACTTTCAGAAGATTTTGACACAGTAATTTTGTTTATTAAAGTTAATAATTTTAAAATTAGCTTATATTTGTTCTATTTTTAACTGTGGTATAATACACATAACAAAATTTACTCTCAACCATTTTCAAGTGTACAGTTCAGGGGGATAAAGAACATTCACATTGTTGCTCAACCATTGCCATCTATAAACAGAACTCTTCTCCAAACTGAAACTGTGGACCCATTAAACAGTAATTCCCCATCCTCCCCTCCTCCCAGTCCCTGGCAACCACCATTCTACTGTGTTTCTATGAATGTGCCTGCTCTGTATATCTCACATAATTGAAATCACACAGTATTTGTCTTTCTAGGATGGGCTTATTTCACTTAGCATAATGTCCTCAAGGTTAATCCATGTTGTAGCATGTGTTAGAACTTTCTTCCTTTGAAGACTGAATAATACTGCATTGTAGGTATATATCACATTTTCGTTATCCATTCATCCGCTGATGGACACTTGTGTTGCTCCCATCTCTTGGCTATTGTGAATAATGCAACTCCGAACACAGGTGTGTGAATATCTCTCAGAGACCGTGTTTTCAATTCTTCTGGGTATATACCCAGAAGTGTTTGTGTTGGGTAATCTATTTTTAATCTTTTTGAAGAACCAGCATTTTGTTTTCCACAGAAAAAACTGGCTTACACTTTGAACGTCTTTTTTCATTCATTTTTATCATTTTGTGCAAGAGTATGTTTATAAATGACCAGAACTGTTTAAAAGAGAAGACTGGTCCTTTATGAGAGATAGTTTAAGAAGCACTCCACTCATACTCTTTAACTTCCAAACATACTCTTGTTTCTCCCACTTTAACAAGAACAACAACGAACTTTCCTTAGATCTCATTTTCTTCACCAGTTATTGACCTGTTTTTCCTTGAAAGAGTTGCCTACGTTTATTGTCTAACTCTCTCTGTCTATTCTCTTTCATCATTCCACCGTCCATGAACCTGCTCATGTGCACATCACCAATGGCCTCCAGGACACCATGATGAATGGCCAGTTCTCAGTCTTTGCCTTCATTGATTTATGTGACACAGTATGTGACACAGCTGATCATTCTTCTTTGATACATTTTTTCTTCTCTTGGTTTCCAGGGCTTGGCACACTCTTGGTTTTCTTTTCTCTTTAATGATTTCTCTTTTGCAGTTTCTTTTGCTATATCTTCTTCTTTTTGACCTCTTAATGTCCCCTGGCTCAGACTGTAGTCCTTTATTCTTCTTTATTGACAGTCATTCTCAGTCCAGATCTCTCTCCTGAACTCCAGACTCCATAGACAGCTGCTTCCTCATCTTCATTTGAATGTCTAATAGCCACTTTAACTATAGCACATCAACACTGAACTCTTGCCTTGGCCCCTCAAAATCTGCTGAGTTGACTCAGTTGATCAGCTAAAAACCTAGTCATCTTATCTCTTCTTCCTCTAACATTCCATATCTAATACATTAGCAAATGCTCTAGTTCCTTCAAAACCATACACAAAGTTGACTTTTAATCATCACCTGGTTTGAGCCACCAGTATCTCTCACCTCCATTATTTCAACAGCTACCTGAGTACATCTCCTCCGTTTCTACTCTTGGCCCTTACAGTTTAGCCTCAACGGTTGTCAGAATGGCCATGATCCTTTTTTAACTTAGTTTAAAAATTAAGTCAAATTAGGTGACTCCTCTGCTCAAATCCTTCAATTATCTCACTTTGAGTAATACAACATTCTCACAATGGCCTGCAAGTTCTTCCAGTAACTTCCCATACATCTCTCTCTCTCTCTTCACTCCACTCCAGCCAAAATGTCTTCCTTGCTCTTCCTTGAATACTCCAGCAGTACTCCAGACTTAGGAGTTTGGCCATTACCTTTTCCTGGAGCTCACTCCCCTGGGATGTCCTCAAACCTAACTCCCTCACTTCCTTTAAAACAGCTCATTAGGCAACTTCCCATAAGATCGACCTTGACCACCATAGTTTAAAATGCAATCTGCCCTCTCCTACCACACAACTTCAATCTTTTCTCTGCTCTATTTCTCTCATTCATGGTACTATTACATTGTTCGTAATACTCCAGTCTTCACTAGAATACAAGCTCCAGGGGGGACAAGGATCTTTTCTCTTTTGTTCACTGATGTATCCTGAGTACCTAGAATAGTATCTGACATGTAGTAGGTCCTTGATACATTTTTGTTGAATGAATTAATCCCATAACCAAGATTATTAGCAGAAAAAAAATGCTTTGTGCCCTCCATTGGAACAAATCATTCAATATAAGAAATCCATTATAAAAGTGAACAAAAACAAACTCTCAGAATAGAAAATACTATGTGCATATAAATTTTGTGGGCATCTTCCAGAAACATTTAAAGACTCCTCGCATGTTCCTTATTTATTTATGTATTTCTGAGAGATCAAAGCATGAAAGAGAATGTTATACTATTCACCATGTAGTAAAATTAACTCATCATCAGATGGGTTCAGCATGTCTTCATGCAAATAGATTTACTACCAAAAGCATTTAACAGACATCTCACACAAAAGATAGTCACAAGATAAAGGAACTAGAGGAGAGTGTTAAGGCCAAATTATAGAATATTTGTTTAAATTTTCCTTTAATAACAGGTCCATTTAATATTGAAAATGGCTAATGCATAGGGGCTCACTGTTTTTAATTCATTTTTTTAAAAAGGGAATTTATACCTATCATGATCCACATTTTATCCCAAATGCCACCTCTACCTTTAATCTACATGGGCTTTATAGTAGGTTTCAGTATCTCATCATATTTACCTGAATTCCAGCAAACCCATGCCCTCCATACCGTATCACCGGGGGAATATTTAAGTGGCTAATAAGCAAATGAAAAGATGCTCAAAATTGATGATAATCAGGATAAAGCAAGTTAAAATTACAATGAAATTCTACTTTGCACCCATCTAGAATGGCTAAAGTTTTGTTAAGGCTAACACTATCAAAAATTGGCAAGGAATGGAAAGCAACTCAAACTTTCATATTTACATTGCTTGGTAGGTCTAAAATGGTTCACATACTTTGGAAAATTGTTTGGTACTTTCTTATGAAGTTAAACACACACCTATCCTATGACCCAGGAATTCTACTCTAGGTATTTACTCAAGAGAAATGCAAACATATGTCCACAAGGATGCTCACAGCAGCTTTATTCATAAAAGCCAAAAACTGGTAATGACCCAAATATCCATCAACAGGAAAATGGTAAACAAATTATGGTGCAGCTGAATTACACTGCAACATAAAGGAATGAGGCACTGATGCACACAACAATTTGAATGAAACTCCAAAACATTATGTTGAGAAAAAGCAGCTTGACCCACTTGCTCCTTGCCAAGACAGACTATACTGCATAGTTCCATTTACTTGAAATCAAGAACACACAGGAGATGGGGCAAAGATGGTAGACCCTGAGCTCACCTCCCCCCATGGGCACATGAAAATTGCAACTATTTACAGAGCAACTATCAATGAGAATGACCTGAAGACTAGCAGAAAAGATCTATAACTACAGATATAAAGAAGGAACCACAACAAAATGGGTAGGAGAGAACATAGTATAGTTAAGACCCACACCCCTAGGTAGGCAACCCACAACCGAGAGGATCATTACAATTGCAGAGGTTCTCCCCAAGGACCCAGAGGTCCAAAACCCACATCAGTTTCCCCGGACTAGGAGTCCTACACTGGGCAGACGAGCCCCACAATGTCTGGCTTTGAAGGCCAGCAAGGCTTACTTGCAGGAGAGCCAGAGGGCTGTAGGAAACAGAGACTCCACTCTTAAAAAGGCACACAAAAAATCTCATATGCTCTGAGACCCAGGGAAGAAGCAGGAATTTGAAAGAAGCCTGGGTCAGACCCACTTGCTGATCTTGGAGAGCCTCCCAGGAGGGAGAAAGCAACTGGGACTCACCCTGGAAACACAGACTCTGGCAGAAGACATTTTAGGGAGCTCATCCTACCACAAGGACACTGGTACTGGCAAGCACCATTTTTAATCCTCCTGCTAGCTTATTAGCATCAGGACCTGGCCCCACTCACCAGCCTGCTGGCACCAGTCCTGGAACGCCCAGCCCCTAGATCCCCAGAGACTTGCAGCCAGCCATCAGACAAAGCTCCACCCACCAGGGGGCAGGAATAAGCCCTGGTACCCCCTGGGCCCTGGCCCCGCCACCTGCTGGCCTACATGGACTCTGGGACAAACAGGGCCCTGCAGTCGTGGTCCTGGACTAGATCCAGCACAGCAGTGGACCAGCACTAGCCGTAGGATTCCTGGGCCGTAGCCCACCTACCAGCAAACTGCCCAGTTCTAGGACCCCCAGGCCCCACGGTTAGAGACCCCAGAACCCAGCTCCACCCACCATAGGCTACCACTAGCCCTGGGACCAGATTCACCCACTAATAGGCAGGTACCAGTGCCTGGACTCCCTGGACCCCACAGACACCATCCTTGGGAAGCACCATGGCCCCACAGCCAGCTGTCCTGGGATCCAGCCCCACCCACCAGTGAGCTAGCACCAGGACCAAGCCTCTCCTAACCATGCAGCCAGCCACACCAGGACCCAGTCATACCCACAAGTGGCCAGCAGCCTCCGCACAAGGCAGAACCTGGCAACCAACAAGACCAAGACGACTGAAATCATATCAAGCATCTTTTCTGACCACAATCCTATGAGACCTGAAATCAACTACAAGAAAAATATTGTAAAATACACAAACATGTGGAGGCTAAACAACATGCTACTAAACAACCAATGGGTCACTGAAGAAATAAAAAATACCTAGAGACAAATGAAAATAAAAACAGAACAACCCAAAATCTATGGAACATAGCAAATGCAGTTCTAAGGGGAATGTTTGTAACGACACAAGCCTACCTCAGGAAACAAGAAACATCTCAAGTAAACAAGTTAATCTTATACCTAAAGAAACTAGGGTAAAAAGAACAAACAAAATTCAATGTTAGTGGAAGGAAAGAAATCATAAAGGCCAGAGAAGAAATTAATAAAATAGTTACAAAAAATAATAGAAAAGATCAATGAAACTAAGAGCTGGTTCTTTGAAAAGATAAACAAAATTGATTTATTCAGACCCATCAAGAAAAAAAAGAGAAAGGGCTAAAATCAATAAAATCAGAAATGAAATAGGAGAAGTTACAACTGACACCACAGAAACACAAGGGATCCTAAGAAATTACTATAAATGATTATATGCCAATAAAATGGACAACCTAGAAGAAATGGACAAGTTCCTAGAAATATACAATCTCTCAAGACTAAATCCCAGGAAGAAAAAGAAAATATAAAAACACCAGTACATGAAGTTCACTAGTGATGAAATTGAATCAGTAATTTTAAAAACTCCCAACTAATGAAAGTCCAGGGCTAAAGGGCTTCACAAGTGAATTCTACCAAACATTTAGAGAAGAGTTAACACTTATTCTTCTCACACTATTCCAAAAAATTACAGAGGAAGGAATGCTTCCGAATTCATTCTACAAGGCCAGCATCACATTGATACCAAAACCAGACAAAGATATCACAAAAAAAGAAAATTACAGACCAGTATCACTGATGAACATAGATGCAAAAATCTTCAACAAAATATTAGCAAACTGAATTCAACAATACATTAAAAAGATCATACACCATGATCAAGTGGGATTTATCCCAAGGATTCAATCGTTCAATATCTGCAAATCAATCAATGTAATATACCACATTTCATTATCTTGGTGAACCCTATCACTTGACATCATGTTCGCAGATTTAGATAAGTTCATGACTGATGCTAGAATGGCAAAGATGTAGTATGGTAGGCAGTTTATTTTGCAGTACAATGTATTTTAAACATTAACACCAATAAAGATCTGAAGAAGCCACTTAAAACTTTCAATTATACTTATCTGAATTTTTAGGATAAAATGTATACAATGGTAACATCCTTGAATTTGGGGGATTTGCTGTAATATCTATGGCTAGACTCATTTTAATAACAAGACTATAATATGCTTAGATAACTAAATATCCATGTTATTATGTAACTATAATATCCAACTGCTAGATCTTGAAAAAAAGAGTAAAATTAAAATTTTAATTCACTTGACAACATACTACATCAAGCAAATATGGCAAAAACATTAATTCAACTAAGCAGAACAAAAGTTGACAGCGAAAAGGAAGAATGCTGAAACGCAGAGCAATCGCATCCTTGGATAATCTCTTGATACAAGACTCACCCTTCGAGAAAACCTACCATCCCAGGACCACAGTTTGTTCCATCTGCCAGTGGCATGTGTTGAGTGCGACAGCCCTTGTGAACTCCTTCTGCACTCGTGCACCAGAGACGCCTGCATTGCTTCTGCAGAGTAAGAAAAGGCAGGCAAGCAAGAGTGAAAATAACACTGTAACCATGGAATCAACTCAGTGTCATGCATTGGTTTATAAGCTGATCCTAGGTACTTCCTGGTTTCATGGTCAGAGCAGGAAATAATCAGTAAAAAAATCTTTACTAAGTCAGTCCTAGTCATCGATTTTCCTCTAAACACATAAAATGGCAACATTTCATTTTTAAAAACTTTTAGATTATCATCAAACACTGAACAATGGAAGAGATGTCTTGGAGTAGAAGTATTCAAAATTATGTGAGACATTTTTCTCTCTTTGCAAGACATTTTTCTAAAGGACTTTTTGTTGTTAAATGTTATTCACAAGGAGTTTCCAAAAGTCCCATCTGATCCAACAGTGGAATGTATGAATAATGTGCATAGAAATATTGTAGAATGTATACTGGTTTCCTATTTTGTGAATATAATGCATACTTTCAACTTTTGAACAAAGCGTTCTGAAGTTTTCACAAGATACAAAAATTCACAGAGGCTCACAGGAGCTATGCCCAAGATAATCCCTTTCTGTTTCTGAATTTAAATTCAAAGTTCATTCAGTACCTAAGTCAGGTAGGAAAGAAATGTATCTTTTATAACAAAAACTTAAGGTAAATCTTCCCCCCTCCAAAGTAGATGTTTAAAAGCTTATAAAATTTGTGATTATAAATTTAAGATTTTAGGAATATGATTCACTGTACGGAATATGCTTTGTGCTCACTGTTAAGTAACTTTCATTCATTCATTTATTCATACATTCCTTCACACATTCATTTATTTATTCATTCAACATGCAGTAAGCATTTATTTTCTGGTGCCTATTATGTTGCAGACCCTGAACTGCACCCTGGGGATATTTAAATGAATAAATAAGGCTGGATTCCTGGTCCAATGATCCTCACAGTCGAGTAGTATAGTAAGCAATTTGGCAAAGTTTTATACAGGAATGAAGAAAATGGAATGAGTATTCTGCTTGGAAAAGTAAGGCATGAATTCACCAAAGTAGTGACGTTTATTCAAACGAAATCCTAAATTTAATTTACCCTCAAAATAAGGTAAAATCTTGGTTATAGATTCAGTAAAAATGTTAACTCAGCTATTTTGGTGGAAATTTAAAGCATCTAACCTGTGAAAAATCCTCAAAATAAATTATAGAGTAATGGTTTAATGAAAACTAAACAACAAGACCCAAATTTCATTCCTTTGGATTCAAACCTGTATAAATTAAAATGTAGTCTCTGAGATTCCTGGGGCCTTTAATACAATTCATTATCAAAACACTTATATTTTCTTCTCCCACCCACAAAACAACATCATTTGAAAATAACTATTTGAATGCTTTTAATTTTCAGTAAGCTCTCTGTGATTCTTGTTTTCTGACTGGGGATACTTTTTAAAACCTTTTCCTGACAAACACTAATTTTTTCTAATACTTAAAAATTTTTAAGATATATTCAGCACACTGTCTGCCCAAGTGAATAAATGTACATTTTGAAATGTAGTCAAACTACAACTTTATGGTAGTTTTCAAACAAAAGGACATAATTTTTCTTACCAAATAGGGACACACTTGTGATCCAGGACCAAACATAAGTTCACATTGCTTGTTTACGTCATACACTGATCCAGGAAGTTGTGAAGACAGATCATATATTCTTCCATTTGGTTTGTCAAGGAGGCATTCCCCATGACCAGTACTGTAACAATGACAGAAAACAAAGTACTGTGAATACATATGGATGCATTTCAGTATAGGATTCTTTATCACATTTTCTATAGCTCTGCACTTTCAAAGAAACTATCAAAATTTTTTCATAATTTAAAAACCAACTCACATGAAAGTCAGTATGAAAACCTCAGTTTATAAAGGACATTTTATGTGTTTGTTCTCATTTGATCCCCACAACTGCCTTAAAGGTAAACATTTTTAAAAAAGAATAACAAATAAAAAAAAATTCATCACAATACCATGTTTGAAATATACATTCCTATTTTGACCACACTACACTTTTGGTCTGCTTTGCTATCCGATAGCAAGGCCCTATATCTAATGTCCAAATTGTCAAAATGTAAAAAGTAAAGTTTTCAGATCATCTGAGAAAGTACATTGATAGCTCTAAGTGACAACAAAACAAAGGAATTTCCAAAAGTGTTATGTGGTCTCCATCACAAAGAGGTGTTTTAGGGAAAG